AAGACTCTGCCAGAGGTGCTAAAGGTGCACTCCATAAGAGCTATGGCAACTTCTACAGCTTGATTGTGTGGCGTTGAGGTCCCTGATTTCTGTCGAGTAGCCAGTTGGTCTACACCCTTGACTTTTGTGATGCATTATCATCTTGACATCAGGGCCAAGAAGGAAGCAAGTTTTGGGAGGGCTTTGCTAACTTCTTTGTTGGCGTGATGGCCCTCCTTCTGGTAAGTGAGTTGCTAGTCACCCAATTGTGTGCATTCACAGAGGCCACAAAGAAGAGAGGTTACTTACCTGTAACCATGGTTCTTCGAATGATCCTCTGTGAATCCACACATCCTGCCCATCCTCCCCACTGTCTGTCACTTGTTGTCTTGAGCTTTGTGGGAGTCAGAGTCTTGACGGCGGTGGACATTTCGGAACTGAGGTATTAGAGGCGGGCAGAGCATGCGCGTCGCAGGGGAATGTCCTACTAATTACATCTTTTTAAGCTCTAGAATATTCTGAGGAGTCCTGCGCAGGTGCAGTAAAACCCATTTGTGTGGATTCACAGAGGACCACTCGAAGAACCATGGTTACAGGTAAGTAATCTCTCTTGCCAGTAGAAGCAAATGAAAGGTAGGAATAGACATGGGGACAAATATAAAAAACAAATCAGGATATTTGTTAAATTTCCCTGATTCATCAGATATTCGTTGGTTTGTATTCTTGGGGTCCAGAGACCCCAAGGAATACGAAGCAACAAATATAACCCTGTTATATGATCAGCTGTTCCTCAGGGGCATAAGCAGAGAGGGTGTTTCCCTTCAGGTGGCTTACTAAAACTTGCCCGAAGCAAATCCCACTCCCTGTTTTACCTGTTTTTGCTAAGAACTGCTGGTTTTTAGCAAAAGGAAGGGGAAAGGGATCAAAGCAATACTGCAGCCGCAGCTGCGCGATGACTTTGATCCCTGCTTTCCCCCTTCTTGCTAAGCCCCAGTTTTCTCTCTCCATTTTGGCATGTCATCCCCATCTCTAGTAAGAAGTAGATAAGACAGTCTCAGTGTGCAGAAGGCTGTATCGAGTCCTCATAGTAGTACCAGGAGCAGTACTGAGGAAAAAGCTGGGTACTAAATATATATAAAATTCTTCAGTTGACCACAAGGCAATGAGAGGTGTCTTTGTAGAGCAGTAAGACCATCTTTGAAAGCATCTTTCTGAATTTAGCCTACGTGCTTCTACAGGACTGAACTCTATTCTTCTTGTCACCATGTCTGTATCTTTGCAAAAGCATCTGGCTGTGGACTGTGCTGATCATGTAATTCTCTCTCCCTCTCCCTCTCTTTGACCTTGAGTACCCTATTAGGGTTACTATATGTTGGATGCAACTTGACAGCACATCACACACCTATCTGTCTGTCTGTCTGTTTGAGGCATTCATGTAACAGCATTTTTAAAACCCTTGCACAATCATTCTGGAGATTAAGCAGGGGTTTCTTTGCAAACTCACTGGCATAGCAATGTTATTTTTAAAATTGATTTTAATTGAGCTGTTGTGCTTTTTATTGCAGCTTCTTTTAACTGCATTGTAAACAAGTTTTAATGGCACTGTGAACAGTCCTGGGATAGCCAAGGCTTTGAACATTATCTGGAAGTAACCTAAATGCTTTTGGGTAACTTCTGAAGTTATCTGCTGTTATTATGGGTTATTTTTTCATGAAGGGCAACCAGCAACTCCTGCTCTGGAGTGACTTTTCAAGGCAGATTTTTCTCAGGAAGAGATTTTACTTTTCCTGTCCTTTAGAGACTTGAAAATAATATTAAGGTGCAGAGGAGGAGATGAGATGAAAGAGTCACTCATCCTTCTGTGGCAGCTTGGAATTCAGAGCAAGAGATATTCAGGTCCATCCTGTTATCAGCTGGTCTGATAAGTGCTTGACTCTTAATACACTGGAGATCGACATTTTAGACACTATTTCATCTGGATGTGAGACAGGCCCTAAAGATCACTGTTCTAGCAGTTGATTTCTCATTTCGATATCTGTAACACCGACATCACCTCTGGGGCCTTCTAGTTTCCAAGTTTTCTTAGCTGGCACAGTTTAACAACTGTTTCAGTTTAGCCGCAGTCAGAGATGGAAATTCCATTTTAGTGTGCTGAAAGATTATTTTTTAAAAGCATAACATGTCAACATTTGATGTAAGAAGTATCAACGCTGGCTATTCTCTTCCGGAATGCATGGAAAATATGTAGCCCATCAGAGCTGTTGGATGTAAGTACCATCAAATCTGGTGATGGATAATGGGACTTGCAGCCCAAAATAATTTGGAGGGCCACAGTTGCCCACCCTCTGTTCTATATTCTATACGTAGTCCTTTGGGGCAGGGGAGTTCATTTCTGCTGACACCACAAAACTGTTGCAGAGTTTTGAATTTTGGTTAAATTCCTCTAGTTGTGCAGCAGAAGTGTAGCAATTCACAGAGCAGAATAGCTTCAGGTTCACCAGATCAGTCCATCCCTTTTCTCAATAACTGGTTCTTACAATCTCAATAACTTACTCTGAGACATTAGTGGGAGAAAGAAAAAAAATATTTCATTACTTACAATTGAACAGATCAAACAGCAAACTAACAAACATAGCTGCTTTCAGAAATAGACTAGTAGAGAAAGAGAGCACTGAGCAGAGAGGCGGGACTCTTTTTGAATTAAGAGGCAGGAGGGAATAACTGGTTAGTGTTGGATAGACTGACAGTCACGCCAGCCCAGAAAGGTCCTTCTCAGCCACACCTTCTCCAGGCAGCATGTGACAAAGATAGCCTATACTTCCCCAGTTCTAATGAGACGTGCCATAATTTACTTGGTAAGGTCAAAGAACATCAGTTGCTCATTTACAGTACATGATATATAGTTACGCATTTGTCCCCAGAAAGGTGTTCCCTCTACTTTGCAAAATTCAGTTAAATAATACAAGATAATTGCTGAAAACCTGTTGTACAACTTTATGCTTGTGAGCCCTACCAGCTATGGCCAGGTTGATGGGGGGTTCCTGTTCCATCCCTTCTTGATCCATACACAATGATATGGCAGGTTGGACTGAAACAGGGTTTATTGCAGGGTGGGGTACAACTCAACTGGCCTCAACTGAGCCCAAACTAGTTCTCAGCTTACTCCTGAGTCTGGGATGCTCTTTTCTGTTGCCTCCACCAGCATCTCTGTTGAATAGTAGTTGACTCCCTCAGCTGACTTCCTGAATCTGGCATCTCCTCTTCTTTCATTCCCGCTTTCCTCAGCATGAAGGGCGAGGAGGTGGGCCAGGGTGGCAGTCTACCATGTCTCAAGGGACCTGGTGCTGGACCAGGAGGGCTCTTCCTTAAATATAGACTCCCACTCCCCAGGTGACTTGGGTTCCTCAGAGAGTTCTATCTCTCCATGGTATCCCTTATTGGGGTCTTATAGGACCCTGCATAGATTTCCTCCACCTCCTCAACTATCACATCAGGGAGTAGGTCTCCAGTTTATATACCACAATCTGTGGTCTTTGTCTTCTCCAGTCCCACCTGCCCTATCCCTTCCAGGGGTCTCATATTCTCCGAGACCCAGGGCCTTGTTGAACACCACACTTGTTGAAAAACAGCCCTGACAATTGCTTTGTATTTGGGTGAGAAGTGGTTAACTGGTGATAAAAGAAATCAACTTCTGGGATTTTCCTTTGCATGGTGTCACTTTGTGAATGGTAGTGATCACAAGAAGGTATCTTGTAGACCATCTTGACTGCTGCCATTGGTGTTATCAACATTTTGGCTGTCATTATTGGGCCATTTCCATATTTGAATTGTGGGTACAGAAGCACAATATTCCACATTCATAAACCCAAGATTTTTTGAAGAATTGAATTGGAACAGCACATGGAATAGTCCACAGACATGGACAGTAGCTGCAGTTCAGACCAAATACAATATTAGCAACAATCATGTTATATAATGTATTACTTCAAGCTTACTTTTCAAGCCAGTTTGTTTTTCAGGTGGGAGGCTGGTAGGATGTTTATTTTATTAATATGGCTGACAACATTTATAGAGTACAACAGTGTATATCTGACAGTCTGAAGACTAAAACAGTGAGAAAATGTGTCAGTAAGAAAAGATATTGCAGATGTGGAGTGGAATAAAAGAACGGATGGAAGAGCAGAACTGTAAAATACTAAGCTCAAAAACAAAATATCTAAACGTAAACAAGGAGTCTCCCTCACATGGAGAGGGTTTACTTCCTCTAAGGGCAGGGGTCAGAGTAGAAAGGATGGTTCAGAGGCAACTGCGCTAGTGTTTTTGCTGGACTGCTTTTCACTTCCTGGTTCCCTTTCAGAAGTCAAATGGTCTTACTTATGTACTTTTGTGGGAGATGCTGTCATCCAGAAGAATCACAGTCATGCAAGTGTTCATCTGCCTTCCTCCTTTTCCCTCCTTACTCTCTCACGCAAGCCAATTTATCCCAATTGGATTTAGGTATTTGTTTTTGTTTGTTGTGAAAAAGTATGTTTAGCATGTTTGATTATCATGTTTGATTATCATGTTTCACTTGCTCTTTGATCCTATGACATTAATCCACGTCCACATATGAATTATGTGATCCCAAATGAATTTCATGGATGCCTCAAAACTGAGATACTGTATATTTCTCCCATTATATACACGGAATGGTTTGGCAACCAATGGCAAAGCTATGTATTCTGTATGAAGGGCGTCTTCCTTGCACATTGTGTAGACAAGGGGTATCATTGGCATTAGTACTAGATTATGAAGAAGATTATGGACCAGCTCTAAACATCTGTCATCTTTTATTCTGTCATCTTGAGATGCCCCTAAGAATTACTGAAAGTGCTTATTTCCCGAATGAAGCATGTTTAATTCTGTTCCTTTTTTATTTTGAGGAAAATCCTTTAAATATAATTTCTTGAAGTAAAAACAAGGAGTGGGTATTCCCATCTTATAATTAGATTCCTTCTTTTTTTTTCTTTTTTTGCCTCCAGACAATAAAGCAGAACAGAAAAAAGGACCCATGGGTGCAGAACGAAAATATGTAAATAGCATGGAGCTGCCTGATGTTTTTCAGTCCTCCTCACAATCCCAGTTTACCGTTAGTAAATCGAAGTCCAAAACACCCACTGCCAAGTCAGCTCTTCATGTATCCCACCTTGAGATAAAACCAGAGGAGTCAATCAAGAGAAGAGGTAAAATAGACTTGTTTCTTTGTTTGATGCAATCCAATATATAGACACTTACTATCTTCCAAATATTTTATTTCCATAATTGCTATATAGTCATCCCAATCCAGTAACTTTTAAATTTTTAATTTTTAAAAAAGTGCACCACGTCTAAATGACTACTCTCTTTTTTTTTTAAACTGTATAGCAGTACCTACTGTGAAGGCAGTCAACCTCATGCCTTCTAGAGTACTGAGAACAACTGGTGCTCTCAGTCGCAAGAGGCTGGACTTGATGGTCCATAGGATCCCTTCCAGCTCTGCAGTTCTATGATGATGATGAAAGTTTATTAGGTTCACAATTTATTCGTAAATACCAAAAATTTGGCAGTGCCCAGTAGTGCATTTGCAGAACTGTCTCTGATGAAGTAACTAACCTTTTATTAGGTGCGGAAAGGCTCTTGACAGAATTGAATGGATATTTTTATGGAAAATATTGGAAGCATTTAAAGTAAGAAGTTGTTGGGACAGATTAAGAATAGCTGCTGGATAAAGATAATTACAATTGATTAAAAATTGCTCTCCCTTAAACAGGATACAAGACAAAGCTGTTCCTTGTTGTTTTGCAATAAAATATCTTGCTATTTTAATCAGAACAAAATACTGTAGAAAAGTAATTGCCTTACATGATAAATCTTCTGACTCCATATTAGTGTTATAGTTGAATGAGTGTTTCTGAGTAAGTGAGCTTTAACAGTAAACATATATACTATTAGAGAAGTAAAGAAAGATACATCATCCTATAAATCACTAGAATATGAATTATCTAATGCACATCTTTGTGCATTCTTGTCAATTACAGTAATTCTCTATATTGCTTTGATGTTTAACTTTTCTGAACTTATCTTACTGTGAAAATTTGTATTAATTATTCAGTTATTATTATTGAATAATAATTATTATTTTTGAAATACATTTCCCCCATTCACAGACTGCTTCCCATCTTCTTTGTGTTCTCTGGTGATGACTGCATCCTCTTTTTATTGCTTTCTGCTAAATTTGATGTCCAGAGTATGCCTGATGCCTGTATATTCTTTCAGGTCCCAATATTGAAAAATCCATTAAAGATCTTCAGCGTTGCACTGCTTCACTGACTAGATACCGCATGATGATTAAAGAGGAGGTAGATAATTCCGTGAAAAAAATCAAAGCTGCATTTGCTGAATTGCAAAGCTGGTGAGTAGAAGAATTACAAGGAGAACTAGAGAAGATATTTTAGAAGGAAATGGGCACTACTCCACTCTCACTTATCTCATCTGTAGAAAAGATAGCATGTGAAGTTTGAGTACACTTTATGCTGTTATTGGTTATTGGATTCAGAGGTCACAATGGTAAGCACTTGTAACCAGGCAATCAATACAACACAGTTATTTATCAAGTTGGTTTTTGTGTTTTTTTCGGGCTCTTTGGCCGTGTTCTGAAGGTTGTTCTTCCCAACGTTTTGCCAGTCTCCGTGGCCGGCATCTTCAGAGGACAGCACTCTGTGCTGCACATTAGGAAGAACAACCTTCAGAACACGGCCAAAGAGTCTGAAAAACCCACAACAACCATTAGATCCTGCCCATGAAAGCCTTCGCGGATATTTCTCAAGTTGTTTAGGTAAATGACAGCCATCACGAGACAGTTATTGTTTTAAAAACACTTTCCTACTGCATAGTACCCAACACATTGGGTAACAGTTGTAAAACAATAGTTGTAAAAAAAGAGAGGCAACATTACATAATATTATATATTATGAACACAAATGATGAAGAATACGCATAACAGAAAACAGTAACCACCACCACCCTCAGTCTTGAATCAGTTTCTGACTCCAGCGAAGAGTGACAAAAGGCCAAACTAGATTTGGTAGCATCAGCTCTGCGTAAAGGTGTCTGTCGCTTCCTGTGTGTCTGTGTCTGTGTCTGTGTCTGTGTTTCCACTCTTTATTGCTCCAGTGATGGGGAAAAAAAGGAATGTTGAGTGTGATTTTAATAGAGTGGGTGAGGAGGGGTGTTCCACATATTTGGCAGCTTTCCCTCCTCTTAGCCTTTTTTCTTCTTCTCTAACAACTTTCCCCCTCTCTCTTTGGTGTATTTTTGTGTCAGAGCTTAACTGATGGGAAAAGTCCTTGCAGAGGTAAGCCATTAGTGAGGGGAGGGCAGAGTATTTTGCACTCCTCACCCATTTACAGAGTTAGGCTGAGTCATTCTTGGACTACAACACCCAGGAGCTCCCCACTTAGCATGGCCAATATCCAAGAGGATCGTTTCTACACTTTGCCAAGATTGTGAAAAATCGGACTCCTGTTACCTCTTTCTTAGACTGTAGCATTGCTGTGTTAGAAACTGTTTTCAGTTTCCCGGTGCGTTGGGCTGTAACTCGCCTCATCCCTAGTCAGGATGGCTGCTAAAATGGCAATTTTAAATTTGTGTGTTCATTTTATTTCTGCAGCATCGTGTATATTTCTTTTCATTTAAAAATCTGTTATTGATTGCTATTACTATTAAAAATTTATTATGATTTACAATAAAGTGAAAGCTAGTGCTGAAAATAAGAATAATAAACACGCAATAAAACCCATTGAAAACATGTTAAAACCTAGGGATAACTGATAATTTTAAAAATAATAATAATAATATTACTACCATTGCCTTTTAACTGACCCCAAATAATCTTTCGGTGAAATGGTTTTATCTTGTCCACATTTACTAATTGCAACAAGGATTAAAGCAGAAGCTGCCAAGGAGGGCTGTTAGATGTCCTCATTTTGCCATTAAGTAGTGATCAGTTTCATCACTACAAAGGAGGTATCCTGTGTTTCACAAGTTTTTTGTTTGTTTGTTTGTTTTGAGGCTGAAACTACATGTATACCTTGGCTTGCTTGCTTTTATTTTATTTTTTTAAGGCAAGGATCTGCAATGGGAGACTGCTATTTTGAGCAAAAGACTGAGGACAAGGAGTAGGGATTCTATACCCCTTTATTCTTCAGACAGATTTGCAAGACTGCCATGTTTTGCAGCAGCTTTCGATTTTTGAAATGTGCTGGGGAAAGCATGGCACACAACTGACTGTCCCAATTGTTTTCATCTGGAGAACTGGGGCTCTTTGGCAGCCAAGGGCACAGAGCCAGTGATGTTGTCTGGAAACTGATATCCACCACTGTTTTTTATTATTATTATTATTATTATTCACACCCTCTTTCTGACATGAAAAGAATTCTTCTGAATGGGTTTCCCATCACATTCCTTAGTGCCATTCCCGCCCTCCCCACTCCAGTAGTCACCTACTCAACAAATGGGGCTTGTTCCTTCCTGTGGCGTAAATGTGTGTGCTGCAGGAAGATAAGTAGGAACTGTTTCCCAATATGGTGACAAAGGACTCAAAGCTCCAGACAAAAACAGAAACAGAGAAAAAAATGTTCAAATATAAAAATGTGGCAGAATGGAGTACATGTACGCAATTTTTTCATGTATCAGAGGATTACTGTAGACATGCTAAAAGAATCTCATCAACATTCATGGAATTTCTGGTGGTGTGATGCACACATCTGTAGTCGGTTGGGTATGCAGAGCCTCTTGGAATCCAGAGGGCTTGTCCAGATGGAGAATTGTTTTGGTCAAAGTGCCAAAACTCAGCTGTCATCCTTTTGAGTTTTTTCCCCATTGACCAGACAACATAAGGCTCAATCCATGTCTTTTCCCTGCCTTCCCATGCTTTTTTGGTTTTGCTGAGAGGGTGGTTTGTTTTGTTCCAGGACTTGTTGCAGTGAGCAGAATTCAGTGCTAAATCCATTGCACAAGCAGACTTCCACTCTTATAACTTAAGACTGAACCAATGTTTTTTTTTCCTTAGAGAGGAGGGGGAATAAAAACCTACTGAACAAAGAGTAAACATGGACAGGACGGCACTTTAATACTATGACTGAATTTCTGTTACACAGCTCTGTGTGTACAATGGTGACATTGTCAGCAGTAGCAAATTGCTACTGATTAAAGAGTTCCTTGGGCAATTTTAGGGTGCACACAACTTTGTCACATTGTGTATCAGCTGCACACACCCTGAAATGGCCTTTCATCTGCGGTGATTTTCAGCGATGATGACATAATCGCTGTTGTGCATGCAGAGACACGCAACAGGATTGTGTGACTCTGCATGCACAATTCTCTCTACAGTTGCGTTGACCTAGAACTCATTTCCAAGCTTAAAAGGCTGGTGGAAGAGCCTGAGCCAAAAATAAATTGTAACACAGAATAGGCAACTTTGATCCCCACAGCTCCCACTGCTGAATCTCCTGACCGGAGCTGATAGCAGTTGCAGTATGAAATATCTGAAAAGTACTAGGTTGCCTCTCTGTGCTGTACAGAAGATGCTAAAATACAATCTTTATTTTGTGATCTCAGACCCATTAAAATACATACATGTAATATTTAAAATAAGTAGAAGCAATTAAAAACATTTCAAGACAGTTAAAACAGTATAAAGTGATAAGATAGATAGTTTCCAATTGTAGATAATTTTCTTAGGTTGGGCAGCCATTCATATATACATGAGCCGCAAAGCTCATTGTTACTAAATATTTGACTGTGCACCTTTGAGAGTGTGAACGCTATGATTTTTGCTAAGTAGATGTTTCTTGATTTCCTCCCCCCCTCCCTTTTCTATGCAAATAATTTTATAGGCAAATGGCAACTTATATTCTACCACATTATTTTAGATGAAGGTCTCAACTTGGCACTGCACAGTGATATTTTGCACACATTTTAGAGGCAACATTACTCTTGTTAGCTGAGTTGTGCAGTGCTCTGCTTGAATTAAGGTTGGCCAAGTTAGAAACGCCCCATGCTTTTCACACCAAATAACAGATCCAGTAGAGAGCTGACTTTCATAATGTTTAAAAACATAATACAAATTACGAACAGAAAAGGAAAGAATGAGCAATATAACACCTACACTTTGAAATAACTGTTGTTGTTGCTCTTGATAGTAAGGAACCATATATAATAGAGCAACGCAGAGGAGATTTTTTCCTTGGGTTCACTTGTTACAGCACCCTGGCAGATTAGTTTTTTTGTTTTGTTTTGTTTTGTTTTTTTCAGAAACTGACGGCTCCCTACCTCTCTTTTTCCTAATAAAAAATCAGTTTCTCAACCAGCTGCATGTTCAAAGATAACTTTCATAATATGAAATTTGAGAATTAAAAAAAGTCTAAGCTAATTTTTCTAATAAGAATAGGAACAACCTCATCTCCTTTCCCTTGCTCTCAAATGTCCTCATGTTATCTTAGGGCAGTGGTTCCCAGCCTTGGGCCCCTAGATGTTATAGGACTGCAACTCCCAAAAGCCTTCACCACTAGCTATGCTGGTCAGGATTTCTGGGAGTTGCAGTCCAAGAACATCTGGCTTACTGAAGGCTGGGAACCATTTCCTTAGGGAGATGCACTTCCCATTCTGGGAACCAGTGGCCTAAGATGAACACAGTCAGCCAACCTTCTATTTCCTCTAAGGCTTAATTCTAAAAAGTTAAATGTAGAAGTGATAAACTTGTGTCTATAGTCTGAATGTGAGGGAAGTATGGGATTCATTGCTCAGAGGAGAAAATAACATGTATGGAAGGCTAGGAAACAGGCAGAAAATTAGGTCAGCATGTGTGCAGATTTTTATAAACAAAATCCAGGTACAGTTGTCTTATACTGAGAAACTTTAGTGATGAAAAACCTGTTAATAACAGCTATTACTATTAATGGAACCTCAGACCTGATCATTAGAATGATCAAGTCGAAGGTTCCTATTAATAGGTATTCAGGAATGTGAACAAAAGACAGTTTTCTCACATTTTTTGTGTCTGCTAAAGGCAAAAAAATCTTCCTTCATATTTATTCTTCCCAACCTATGTTTACCTAGAAATAACGATTGGTAAATTGTGCTTACTTTTTTCTTTTAGCTGAAGGTGTTACTCTTGAAGCATGAGAGACAACTAATGGTTTTTTAAAAGTAAAATTTATTAATTTTAAATTAAATTACTGTATATTTAAACTGTGTTTATGTTAAGCACCTTCTCCGTCTTTAACAAATTAGTGCACATTTTGCAACAGGGGGTGGGCAATACATGGCCCATCTGTGGCCCTCATCGGTTGGCTTTGTGCCCCTGTGCAGGTGCTCCATCAGTTAGCTCCCTTCCATGGAGGCTGGGTCTGC